ATAAGGTGGAAATGATAAAGCTAGCATTTGCAGTACTAATATCACAAGACATAATTGTGTTTAATGAAATAAAATGGATGGTCCCTGGCTGACTCCTGGCCATTCACTCAGAGGAACTGCTGCTGAGCTGGTCCTTGTTCAGGTTCCATCTGCTGCTTCAGGGTCTTCCATGACCATATTTAATAGCCAGTTTCCAGTTCTAGATATTGAGGGCTATAAATTTCCCTAGTGACTGTGGCCAATGACAAGTTAAGGAAAGACTTGTGTAATTACTGCCTTGTACTTCCACCAGACACAGGAACTTGAGTCAAGAGCAAGGATTTTGGACAATAAAACACAAGCTTTTTAAAAAGCAGGAAAAATATTCCCAACATATCTGATAAGAGATTTGTGCACAGTTAAAAAAGAAAAGAAAAACAGAAATAGGACTGACACTGGTGTGGCACAAGCACCAGCCTTTGATTTGGATTGGACCTTTTCTGAATGCTGCATATTCTTATGCCTATGAGAAGAATTCAGGCATTAGAATGAGCCAGGGGTTAATTGGGAACCAGTATCTTTGCTTGTGGCCAGAAACCAAGGTGTGATTTTCCTGGTTGATTTTTACAGCTTGGTTACTTTCAAACAGGGCCATGCTCTTCAACAACTGTCAAATAAGCTGGCTTCATGGGTTCTACAGAAACACCCCAAGACAGCAGCTCACACTTTTGGCATCTTAACAGCATAATTCCATTTGGAGATGTTCAAGATAGTCCTTTGCATATTGTTGGACTTGGGCCCCAATCTTTCTGGCTTCTGAGCATTTTTTTTTAGCTTATAGAAAAGTAGGTGGAGGTGGGTTACAGAGAAGGAATTGTCTTGCTTTAGGATTCCTCCAAAGCATTTGATTTTTTGGAAAGAAGACAATGGATATGCTTTAAATATTTTCCCCTTGTAGTGTCTGCATAGTAACAAGATAGCATTTCTGTCGTAGATGTTGATCACATTATATTTCTGAAAGGAGCCAATCATGCAGCACAGGACTCAGGGGTTGAGAAGAGGTTGAGCAGTACAGGGACAGAATTATTATTACTTATGGTGATCAAGCCCAAATCTCTTATACTTCCTGAAATCAAAAAGTCACAGGAAAAGAATTTCTTCTAGGGTCTGATTGGGCCAGTCGATGAAACTAAAATTCAATAAATCCAAAGGTGGCCACTGTAAATACTTACAGAATAAGCCCAGAGTATGGTGTATCATCATTTGTAAAGTGGGTTATCCCCATCAAGTTAATGAATTGAGCCATATTTTCCTTCCAATAACAACAATTTCACTGAATCCCACCTTGTTCCATATTAGTCAAAACTGATAAGAGTAGTTGATTTGGAATCATCAAAGACTCATGCAGGCAGAAAGAAATAAAAATGTGTTCCAGGTATTTGAAGGAGTGAGCCTCTTTGCAAAATGAGACAAGAGAGATCATTAGTAGAGCATTTTCTCCCCTCAGCCTGTTTTCTATGTGCATGACCTTGGAATTGTTAGCTTGAAGCGCAGATTCTTCCTGGCTCACCTAGAAGTTTTCTCTCTTCCCAGTCTATGACTTTAGATCATACAACTTCACCTCCTGTCAAAAGGGTAGAGCTGAAAGAGTAAAGGGTATTGAAGAGTGACCTTGAGCTCAAAGGTGAGTAATTGGATTCCAGATTTTGTACAATCCAAAGATAGTTTATGTTCATCTTTCCTCTGTCTCAACATCAAAGAAATTGCAAAATGACCCCTAAACCTTTTTATGTGCTACAGATTATCTCTAAAGAAAAGAACACACAAGCAGGGCTTCTTTGTAAACCAGTCTCCCCTCATCCTCCCAAACTGCCCTGGTAGGTATGATAAAATGTCACAGATCTAGGTAAAATGGATACCATGTTTGTAGCAAGAAGCAAGAACTTTTTTTTTTCTTGTTCTAGCTAATACTTTGGAAAAATCTGATGTCAATTTGGACATAGGTATTAAATCAGTCCACACAAATCCAGCCAGCTGCAGCCATAGACATCTCCTTTAAAAGCTGGTTATTTTATGCTGAAGAATATAACTGGATTTGAGCACCTGGTGGAGGCAGCCAATTGGTTTGTGCATTTGATTAGAATTTCAGAAGATAATTGTTTCATTCCCAGGTCTGTCTCTGGCTCACTATTTGACCTTGGACTAATTGCTTAATCTCTCTTGGCTTCAGATTTTCTATTTTGAAAGTGAAAATAATAACTTCCAACTACCTATCTCGTCTGGGTATTGAGTGGATTAATGGGGTCATGTTTGTAAAGCCCTGGAAAATTCTCAAGAGAGAAAGCATTCTACCACTTTGGCAATTCCAGTAATATTTTAGGGCCATAGATGGGTAGGTCTGCATTTAATGGAGTCATTATCTCAGAGGGATGTTCTCCCCTTCCTTACAATTAAGGACACTTTATTTTCATTTCTATGAAATCTCCCATCTGGTTGTTGGTAGAACAATCTGGAACTCCCAAGGTGAACCAAATATTCTCTTCTAAGCAATACCTGGAGCTCTGAGGAAAGAACTACAGTTTCATGGCCACTAGGGATTACTCAGAGCATTTCGGCTTTAGCAACACATCAGCTGCTTTTCTGAGTCAAACAGGCTTGGTTGGAGCCCTGTCTCTGCCACTTCCTTTCTGGGCGACCCTGAGCACATCACTTGATTTTCCTACCCATGTCTAGAACATGGCAGGCTGCCAGGAAGTATTGCCCATGGTAACATAATAGCTCTGGCATCCACTCAGGTCATGAAGAATTATAATGCATACTAGGCTCTTAGTCAACCAAAGGCCAACTCATCAGAGCTTGTGTTTAACCAGAACATAGCCATCCACAGCCAGGCATCGACGATAGCTGCGTTTTTGTGAGCACTCTAGATTTAGGAAAATGACAGATCAAAAGGAAACAACTTTGTGTCAGGGATTTATGCAAATTCCCATAGTACGTTTTTCTGTCATAACTGATTTAGTCCAGTCTCCTGAGTTCAGGCGCAATATTGCTGGGAAGCTTTGGAGTAGGTGACATTTACTGAGAATACTGCTAATAGACCTTCTCATTTCCTCTCTCCACAGCCCAGGAGGTGGGTGCTGTTAAGCCCCTTTTACAACAGGGAAAGCTTTCCTGAGGTTCCGTAAGCTGACCAGTGTCGCTCCACCATTCAGTACAGACTCACCCCAACTCCAGCCCTGCATGTAATTTTAAATTTGTTAGGAGCCATATTCTTTGAAAAGTGAAAAGAAGCAGGAGAAATTGATTTCAATACTATATCTCCTTTAATGCATCCAAAATGTTATTTTTGTGATGTGTAGTCAGTATGGATATTGTGAATGAGGTATTTTACAATTTTTTTTGTGTGTGCTCTCGTTGGAACCCAGTTTTAATATTTTACACTTCAGGCTCCTCTTACCTGGAGCTTGTCACGGAGTTCAAGGCCTCAGCACCTCATGTGGCCTGTGACCATGTGGCACGTGGCCATAACTGCTAGGCTGTCTTTGAAATCCACACCAACTGGGTTTACCAGGGTATATTTACTGAGAAAGAAGCTCACAGATGTTCCATGGTCAGCAAAAGTGATGAGAAGGAGATGTTGGAGATGTCTAAGAGTTTAACATGTTAACTTTTACATTTTTTGATTTGTGAAACAATTCGCCCTCAAAGAAGTGCTCTTTTTCTGAAACATTCTGCCGCCTGAGTTTTTATTTTGTCATAGGTAGTACATATATTTTATATTTGTGCAAATAAAAAACAAATTAATAAGCAAATAGATTCACTACTGTGAGGAAGGAAGATGTCTGAGGCAGGGAAGATACATATATTTAATCGAATTCTTGCCTGCTTCTGTAGCCCTACTTGGCATGTAGGGGGCTTGTGGTAAATTGTGGGGGGTTTTTTGTTTTTTTGTTTGTGTGTGTGTGTGTGTGTGTGTGTGTGTATGTGTTTGTGAGACTGAGGATTGAACCCAGGGCTTCACAAATGCCAGGGAAGTGCTCTACCACTGAATCAAATCCTCAGCTCTTACAAAAAGCAATTTGTGTGTGCACGTGTGTGTGTGGTGTGTGTGTGTGTGTATGTGTGTGTGTGTGTGTGTGTGTAATAAATTTTTAGAGCCATGTGGATAAATTAAACACGAATATTTTAAATTTTATTTCTCATTGGCATAGGGCAACTGAGGTCCTTCTTTCTCCTGTCTGAGAATTTGGATCATAAGGCCCAAAGACAACCCTTAATGGATTTCATTGACTTAAGCCATTTAATTTGATTCCAAATGAAATAGCATCAGAAAAACTACAGAGACCAAGCATCTCCACGGAAAAGATGGTTGCTGACATTACCACTGATAGTCTCAATCTGTCAAAGCCAGATGTCCTGTAGATGTGGTTGCAGGTCACACAGCTGCATCATCTGTCACTCAGCCTCAGGGGCCCCCAGGACAAGCCCTTCCCGTTGTCTTCGTGACTCAGATCTGAGCAGCACTGCCTCCGGTCTCTTTCTGGCCTGGCAAGATATTCTGCCTCAAGGAATCTAAAGATGATCTCAGGTCAAATCTCCTTTAGTCTCTGTGGTGCTGGTCCAAACCCCAACAGGGAACGGGTATTTGCCATTTAACCCTAAATCTTACTCTGCCTTTTTGAAGTAAATATGAATTTCTATAAAACAAACAAACGTTGTGGTATTCTCAGAACTCTTTCAATTTCAGGTGACAATGCCCAGCACAAACTGAGATCATGAAAAAAAAACAAAATAAAGAAGAAAGGGAGGAAGTAAGGGAGGGAAGGAAAGAGGAGCAACTTGAGAATCAAGTCCTTATCTTGACACTGTTCAAAGGTATGGATATTTTTTTCTCCTTTTTTGGGGGGGTGGGGGGTGGGGGGTAGGGGGTGGGGAATGTGGTATAATGAGAATTAAGCTCAGGGGTGCTTAATCTCTGAGCCACATCCTCAGCTCTTTTATTTTTTATTTTGAGACAGGGCCTTGCTAAGCTGCTTAGGGCCTTGCTAAGTTGCCAAGGCTGGCCTGGAACTTGAGATCCTCCTGCCTCAGCCTCCCCAGCCACTGGGGTTACAGGCGTGCCCCACATCACCCAGTTGGATATGGTTTTATGGCCCAGATGAAAATCCTTCATCATGAACAATGACAGATGCCATGAAAGGATGACAACCAGAACCAAACTGAAGAATGTTTGTGACTCCAAGACTGGGTTCAAAACAGAACAGAACAAAGAAACGATCTGATTTGGGCCTCAGGAATGGTTTACCAGGTGTGTGCAACCTGCGAATGATTACAATTCACAAACATTTAATGGCCTGTCGGCTCATCATCTGTAGTCAAAGAGAAGGAGCAGGGATATTTCTTTTCTACTACTTTTTTCTTTTTCTTTTTTTTTTTTGGTACGGGAGATTGAACCAAGGTGCTTAACCCCTGAGCCACATCCCTAGCCCCCTTTTTTATATTTTATTTAGAGACAGGGTCTCTCTGAGTTGTTTTGGGCCCTGCTAAGTTGCTGAGGCTGCTTTGAACTCGGGATCCTCCTGCCTCAGCCTCCCAAGCTGCTGGGATTACAGGTGAGCGCCACCACACCAGCTTCCACGAGTCTTGAGGGAGAATTCTCTTGGTGTTTTCCGCCATCTGTCTCTAATTCCTTTCTCAATCTTTTTCCTCCACCCTGCCCACCCCACTTGCTTCTTGCCCTCCTTCCCTCTGCTTTCGTCCATTTCTCTCTCCTCCTCCTCTTCTGCTTTTGCCCCCAGCCATCCTGGTTTCCTGAATGGAAGGTCTCATTTAAATCCCGCCTCTGTGACCTTGGGCAAGATGCTTCCTTGTTCTCCCAGCTTGCTTTCTTCATCTGTAACACTGCAATGACAACCTCCTTACTAACATTCAGGTCAGGTTCAGTGATACTTTGTATGTCAAATGCTCGGCACAGACCAGAGTAAGCACTTTTTTGAAGGAGGTGAGGGACAATTCCATTTTCTGTGAAGTAGTCAAGATTGTAAAAAAGAGACCATTTGGATTACGAGTTCTCTCTCTTTGAACCCAGGCTTCTCTAACAGAGTCCAAAGAGCCTCTGTTCTCTGTCCCTTCTGTTGGATGCATAGCAATAAAACAGCCACATGGAGTGTTTATCTTCGATGGGTGACAGACCCACTCTCTTGCTGGAAACTCTTTGGACAAATTTCTGGGGTTAACCAGCCAGTCCAAGGTAGAGGGGGTGTTCCTAATGTTGAACTTGGGCTGTAAACCCTTTAAAACCTGATCCAGAACTAGGGAGCTAAGACCTGCAGCCTAGCGACACTAACACCCAGAATACCTTCACATACATCTTGGAGACTCTCTTTCTCATCCACGCATTTGAGACTTTCTTGAGTCTGTTGAGGTCTGGCATTTAGTAAGTGCTCAATAATTATCTGTTGACTAAAATGGGCAAACCCACATGGTCTGCCATATACAATACGAAAAAATGAATGAACAGGTTTGCCAACATGCTTGTTAAATGAATAGTTGAATGCACACTGCGTGGTGGTCCATAAGTACATGTCAAATGAGCAAACACTCAGTGAATGATTGAATGGCATATGGGTCATCCCTGTTACCATTACTTTCTAATATGTTTTAAACTGCCAGTTGATTTCTTTTTCTTTCTTTTTTTTTTTTCTTTTGTACCTATAATTTGGTCCCAACAAACTAAATTTACAGTTTGCTCTTACATTCTGTTGGTGCATTTTGAAATAGATATGATGTCCTATGGATTGAATTTCATTTTCAAACAGCCAAGAGATATTTTCAAACTTTCCTGAATTGAGCGTGTGCAGGACAAGGGAGGGATGGCGCTTGCGTACCAGCTAATCTCTGTTATGACAGATCCGCATGACTGAGGAGCAAGGGCTACGGAGGGGGAGGACCATGCCCCTTGGAGGAGCAGAAGAGGGTTGTCCACAGATGAAGCATGAGTGTGGCCATCGTGTTCCTGTATATACTTGGTAGATATATGTACCCGCCGGAATAGGTAAATCTAATCCTTGGCCATTATTCATTTCACTTTCCTGAATTCTGTGGTATTTCCAAAGAGTGACTGCTTTTCTTCTGGGTTAAGTAGAAATCTTTGCTTAAGTCAAAACCACTTACTTTAAATACATTTAGTGACATCGGGATCTTTTTGCCCTCGGAGTGCTTCTCATGTTTTTAAAACTCAATGAATTGTCACTTGACCTTAAGGAACACTTAGAGATCAATGCATGGGGGATTAAACTGAGCAGAGAAACGAAGCTTTTATCCAAAAATCACTGGTTTATGGAGATGTATTTGGGAAGTCATAACAGAGTCACATCACATTTGGCATTGATATTTATAATTGCAAAGTATACAAAATAAAAAGGAGTTGGGATTAAATTCTGTTATTTAGAATTGAGTTTCCTTTTAAGGAGGTTAGGGATATTTGCATAGGAGAAAAAATTATATTAGGCTAACTTAAGTTAAAATTCAATAAGGGGAAACTACTCTGATGTCAGAACATCCTAGAAAAGTTTTAAAAACACATGCAGTCGGCTTCCTGGTTAATTTGTGTACAGCTTAGTTTCAGGAAAACCAAGTGACTGACCAAAGGGCTAAACTTTGTCCTTTTCATTTAGAAACATTGCTGCCATGTGACACACTTACTTAAAATGTTTCTCCATCACTGCTAAAAATAAAAAAAGTGTCATTTTATTGGTGGGGATTTAAATATTTGTTGATGGGATTGTAAATTAGCATGGACAATATGGAAAACAGTTGGAAGGTTCATCAAAAAGCTAAAGATAAATACAATCCAATAATTCCTCTTCTAGATAGAATGGACATTAGTAACCCGAGGCAATGAAATCAGTATATTGAAGAGATATCTGAACCCCCATCTTTATTGGAGCAAAATAGACAAGATGTTGGTGTTCATCAATGGATGAAATAATAAAGAAAGTGTAGAGTGTGCACACAATGGAGTACCAGTTGACCTTTAAAAAGAAGAAAATCTTGTCATTTGTGAAAACATGGATGAAACTAGACGGCATTATGAAATAAGCCAGGAGCAGAAAGATGATCACATTTATATGTGGAATTTTATAGAAGTTGGATTTATAGAGGCAGAATACACATGATATTTATCAGGTTTGAAGGGAGAAGGGTCTGGGGAGATGTTGATCAAAGGATAGAAGATTTCAGTTATACAAAAGAAATGAGTTCAAGTATCTAGTACAGTGTGCATTCTTGGAATCCCAGCAACTCTGGAGGCTGAGGTACAAGGATCACAAGTTCAAGACTAGCCTCAGCAACCTAGTGAATTTTTGGGGGGAGGGTATCAGATAGAACTCAGGGGCACTAAACAACTGAGCCACATTCTCTGCGCTATTCTTTGTATTTATTTAGAGACAGGGTCTCACTGAGTTGCTTAGCACCTTGCTTTTGCTGAGGCTGGCTTTGAACTCACGATCCTCCTGTCTCAGCCTCCCAAGCCATGGGATTAGAGGTGTGCACCATTGTGCCTGACTTGAAATTTTAAAAAGGTCTGGGAATATAGCTCAGTGGTCAATGCCCCTGAGTTTAATGTTCCAAAAAAGTTCCAAAGATCCACCATTCAATATGGCGATTGTACTTAATAACAAGGTATCATATACTTGAGAATTTCCAAGAAAACAGATTTTAAAAGTTCTGGTGGGGGTTGGAGGTGTAGCTCAGTGGTAGAGTGCTTGTCTACCATGTTCAGGGCCCTGGGTCTAATACCCAGCAAAGCACAGAAAAAGAAACAAAGTTCTCGGGGATAGGAAAGTTAGCAGAATACAACAATTACTAATTGGGCATTATGTAAAATTGTGGATGTATAACCGACGTGATTCTGCAATCTGCATTTGGGGTAAAATTGGGAGTTCATAACCCACTTCAACCTAATGTATGAAATATGATATGTCAAGAGCTTTGTAATGTTGTGAACAACCAATAAAAAAAATACACTAAAAAAAAAATAAAAAAATAAAAGAGAAAAAAAAAATAAAAAATAAAAAAAAATAAAAAACAGAAGACAAAAAAAAAAAAGAAACAAAGTTCTCATCACACACACACACACACACACACACACACACACACACACAGTATGTGAGGTAATGGATATGTTAACTAGTTTGATTTAGCCTTTCCATAATGTATATGTATATGAAAACATTATATCATACACCGTGGATATGTGCAATTTCTGTCAATTAAAAATAAATAATTCATTTGTAAATTTTTTTTAAAAAAAAAGCTATGTTACATGTCTGAAATTTACAAGGAGAGATGCTCATGTTCCTAAGCAGTCATGACATGCCATAAGCTTTCCCAGGCAAATCCTGGTTTGACCCTTGTCTAAATGTGTCCCCAGGTAGCTTCCTAAGTGGTCATGAAAGGACTGCTTCTTATCTGGAAGGCATAGATTTGATCTCTATTAGAATCTAGCGAGAACCAAATCTGAGCATTAGCTGAGCTCTCCAGTGAGCTCTTAGGCTTCTGCCAGTTAATTTCCCAGCTGACTTCAGTCCAAATCATAAAAAAAAACCTCTCTAGATTTCCCTTCCAGAGCATGGAACTCAGTTAAGCAGTCTAACAACTTGATATTAAATACCCAGGAAGATGACTGTGTACTGGGTTGTTTGAGAATAAAAATAATTATTTAGAAGAACTCAGTTGGACATCCAAAGCCCCAGCACATAGATTTAGACACATAATATGGATGATTGCAATAATAACAACAACAACATAAAAATCAAACTCCCAGTCATTTTTCCTGCTTCTCTAAGAAAATCAGCTTCTCCCTGGGTAAAAGGACTTGTGTTCCCTAGGAAGGGCCGGTCTCTGTTCTCCTGGATCCAGCCTGTGGACTGCCAGCTACACACAGAAGATGTGGAGCTCACAGTCTTGAGCTGCCTCATGGGACCGACCGTTCCAGCTGCCTTTCATAAGAAAATGCCAGTTTGAAGAATTCCACTTCATGGAAAGGCAGAACACATGGAATACTGCCTTTCTTCAGAGGAAAATGATTTCTCTTATCAGACTCTCTCTACTTAAGGCCAACCCTGTGTGGGAGGGGCCAAGGGGAAAAGCAAGGGCACTTTGGGGGAACCACGGAGACACCTTCTAAAAAATCTGCTTTGTCTTTCTTTATAGGTAAAGTCTCGTGGTTAAGTCCTTGGTATTTAGAGTTAGATTTCAAACTTTGGCTTAGCAGTAATGTAGCCATGGATGAGATCACTGCTTCATTCTTTTTTTTTTTTTTTGGGGGGGGGGACATTCTCGGTGTCAGTCACTGGTAGTCACAGCTTTGAACAAGACAGAAGAGATGCCCACCCTTCTAATGAGGGGGAACAAAATATACAAACATGCACGTAAATGAAATAAGATCACTTTAGATCATGATGAAAGTTGGAAATTTTAACAGTCAGCAGGTAGCGGATCATGGGGAGAGAAGAGCAGGAGTGGCTTTAGATTGATGTGTACAGGCAGGAGGTGACCCAAAGGGACTGAGGGTACCCGGGTGGGAACAGTGTTTCAGGCACAGGGAAGAGCAGATATAATGGACGTAACCTGATGAAACCCGCAGGCCAGGTAAACATGTCTAGACATGTTTGGATAAGCTCTGGGGTGTCCCTGAAGGACATTACGCAGGGAAATGGCTTGGCATGAGCTGCACCCAGGAGAGAGAGACCTCATATCTTCATTTGGAGAAGCCCCACTCCAAGTTCCTTTCAGGGGACAGGGAATTCCAAGGACACTGCCCATTACAAGGTAAGAATTCAGGGTGAACTACCAAATACGGACGCTGCCCCCACCCCTGCAGATGGACACAATATCTTTATTTTATTTGTTTATTTATTTATTTTTATGTGGTGCTGAGAATCAAAACCAGTGCCTCACACATGCTAGGCAAGTGCTCTACCAGGGAGCCACCCACCCCAGAAGGATGTCGCCATCTTGATGGTAGCGGTAGGGCTAGGGCAGGGGAGTCCTGGTTTCAAAGTAAGCCAATTAATGAAAAAAGACCAAATCTTTTGACAACTCTGTCAAATTGGACTTGAGCCAGGTGTTCCCAGGGTTTGTATGGTTAGTGCTGAGAGAATCAGAAGCTGCCAAGATTCTAGCTCCTGCCCCACTAAGACAGCTTGGAGTTATCGGGATTATGACCTTTGACACTTCACTTTTCTCCATATAATGCAGACAATAATAAGATTTACCTTGGGGGTGTCGATGAATACCTGAAATCCAAGCAGCTCAGGAGGCTGAGGCAGGAGGATTTCGAGCTCAAAGCTAGCCT